TATATTACTTTCTTTCTCTCTCTCTCTAACTCTTGAAAGATGGAAAAATATAAGCGTGGAGAAAATGGAAGTTGTGGGATTTGCACAAGTGACAAAATCTGATAAAGAGATAGAGAGTAAAAAGATCCTTGGCACGAAAAATAGAGAAAGACCTCCTCACTGGCAACGGCACCACAAGCGACGACACGTCGCCCGAGGGGGGTGGCAGCACACTACCCAAGGCGGCAATGGCCTCACCCGCCCGAAGCACGCATTACAGGCCTAGCCTGCAGGCGCTGGGCTATCCTGTCGTGCGCAAGGGCTAGCCTGCGCACGCGCAAGACCTAGGCGCGCTGGGGCACCACGCACAAGCCTATTGCTTGCAGGCTCCAAGCATGCAGGCCTCTCCGCGCAGGCCTGCTGCGCGGACGGCGCCCGCCCAGTGTGCAGCGCCTGCTTGTCCACGCGTAATGTGATGCATGCGAACAGGTCCTGCCTGCGGGCGACAAGACGTACGCACAAGCCTGTCCTCCGCATCGCGCGCAATGGGATGTGAGCATTGTGCGCACGTCCTGCGTCGAACTCACTAGCCTCATTACATGGAGCAAAGCACTCTCTATCAGTGACTGTCCATCCCCTGGTCTAGCCAATTCCTTCCAATTCAAATCGGGAGAAGGGGTCCTCTCCTATCTTTTGATTAGGAAAGAGGGGGTAGCGACTCTAACGAATCTAATGCTGCCCACTCAAGCTAAAAGCTAGTTGAATGCTACTGCCCTTACTAAAATGAAAAATCGCGCGCGCACACGTGTGCGCACTCACTCAGGTTCCCGCACTGGCAGCCCATTCCCATGAGATTTTTCCCCCCTATTTTTTGTTTTTTCTAAAAATTATTTTCTTAAATGATTGATTAAATAATTAAAATTAAATTAAATTAAATTAAATTAAAATAAATAAAAATCAGCATAATTTATGAATTATAATAATATACTGCGTAATAAAATAAATAAGTTCCGCGTGGTCTTAGGCCCAAATAATTAGGATTTTCCAAATACAAATTAAGCACAGAAATGAGCAGACGTTACAAAATTTGTCACCCATAGCTTCTTCCAATTTCACTCAGAATCAGCTTGAGTGCTGAGTGCTTCTACCTGTGGTTCTCCCTCTAGAAAGAAGCATTTTGCTTTATTTTTGCTCCAAAATTTTCCTAACGCATAAGGCTATTTTTGCATAAATTTCATAATTTTAGACTTCATTTAGGTGTCTAAAAAATTTAAAAACCGGAGTACTAGAAAACTCGCTACTCACCATAGTTGCCTTCTGGACCTTTCAGTCATTGGAGAGTTGTTTCTCCCTCTAGGATAGTCCGCCTTCTTTGATTCTTGATTCTAAATTTTTTTTAAAGGTGGCCCTATAACTCCACAAAATTTCAGAGTTTTTTGAGCACCCTAAGATTCTAAAAAAATTCGTAAAGTTTAAGCAGGGATCTCATCATGCTTACCTGAGCCACTGGTGTTCGTCCCTTAATATCTCCTTCTAGGATAAAGCTTTCAGCCCTATGTTTTCGCTGGAATTTACCTAAGACGTAACCTAAACAACCACAAAATTTCATAATTTTTAAAGTTCTCTAGCCTAGGAAACAACTTGAGAAATCGTGAAAGGGAGGAGATGCCTTACCTGTAGGTCTGCTTCTTCCTCTCCCTCTAGGATCCGCTACGTTCTTCCTCTCTCTTCTCTTTTCTTTTGTTTAGGTCGACTTAAAGAAAGGAAAATTTGTTGTTTTGAGTGTTTATATAGTGGGGCATGGATAAGGACGGTGACGTGGATTAATTAGGTGATAGTGGGTCCTTTTACAATATTTAATTTATTTAATTTATGAATTTTAATGTTTTCTAATTAATTTTTTAATTACTTAATTTTCTAACTTTCTTCCAATTTAATTTTATTACTTTATTAATTTTAATATTCCCTAATTACTTTTATTTTAATTTATTTTAGTAATAATGAGTTCTAATATTTTTTAAAAAACATTTCCTAATTTTTTAATTTTCTAAGTAAAGTTTTGATTTCAAAATAAATTAATTTTTAAATTTCAACTTTAATAATGTTCTTAGGGTTTAAATATAATTTTTAAATTATTTTGATATTTATTTTTACAATATTTAATTTGATTAATTTATTCAATTTAATATTTCCCAATTAATTTTAATTTAAATTAATTTTCAAATTTGTTTCCTAACTTAATTTTATTAAATTATTAATTTTAATATTTTCTAAATATTCTTATTTTATTTTATTTTAGGAATTACAAGTTTTACTTTCTTTTGAAATCCTTGTCAAATTCATTTTAAATTTTCTAATTTAACATTTCTTAATTAATTTTAATTAAATTAGTTTCCAAATTTGCTTCCTAATTTAATTTTATTATTTTAATTGTTCGAAAGTAAAAACTAATATATTTTTAAAAAAAACATAAATTCATTAATAATTGATATTTAAAATCATTTAAAGTAGTTCATTTTAAATTTTTTCTAATTTCTGTAACGACTCCGGAAACTTAAAAAGAAAATTCTTATAATAATTTAAGTGCGGAAACAAAATAAAGGTTGAGGTTAACATCCGTTACACAATAATTCAAAAGTACTAACAAACATCACGGAACAAATTCTCTGAAAGAAATATGAAAAAATGGAAAAAAAAAAAAAGAAACTATAAAGTATCTAGCATCTATTCCTAGTCTTCTTGCGGATCGGGCTCGAGAACCGGGTCCTCCTGATCTAAAATAGTTAAATAAGGGGTGAGCTACACTATCCCACTAAGGATATCACACTATATCGCGGTCACATAAGCAAATGTTGGTAGAAAATCAAAACAACCAATAGAGCAGTAGATTTAAACCAATACATTTATTTAAAATAAAACCATTTACCTTTTTTCTTACAATTGAGAAATTTATGGAAACAATTTATAAAAGCAATAATATCATACAGATCACAATTTCATGCAAAATTAGTAACATAGAAAATATCATAAATTCGTATTCATTAACAATAACTAATCATCACCGTTTCTCGTTTCATCAGCCTACTAGTATCCATGGGGATCCATAGGGGTGTCCCCGCTACACGTAAACTATTTTCCTTAACAATCTTAATTCTAGTGTCGTCTCCATACCCCGTCCGGTTTGAGTACTAAGACATTAAACCTTAATACTCAGTCCGGTATGAGGGTGAAGCGGGCCGTCCCCATACCCCGTCCGGTATGAGACAACGTTCACGGTAGAATTTTCTATGAACTCGGTCTGTCCACCATCTCCCAGGATATCTAGTGAGCCTGTCATCTTGTCCATTTATCAGATCAGATCTCATCCTTATTTGTCTTTAGTCTCCGTTACCATCTCAAACATAAATACATAAAGAAGTAACGTGCATCCAACAATGCAATCATATCTTAGATTTCCAAAATCAAACAGTAGTGAAGTAAGTAGTGATATATGCATTTAAAACCATAGAATAGATAAACTAGATACCATAATGCATTTAAACTGTAAAATAAATCAAACAGGAATCGACAGAGAATAATGTCCAATTCGGGCTCCATTAGTAACCGTAATTAATTATGCATATCTATTTAATTTGTACAAAATACAGTATTATCATTTATTCAAAATTCAATCCATAATAGGAAATAGGGTGAGGGGTCCTTACTTGATTCGACGCCCAAAATTAGATGGTTACTGCACCTACGAGTGGTCCATGAGTTCCCTAAATTTTTTTTCGAAAACTGAAACGTGTTTACGGTACCTACAAGTGTCCCAAATAAATCTAAAAATCAGACCCAGGGCCTACTCGGCCAATTTCAGAATTTCGACACGGTGGCTCCGCCGTGCTCCGGCGACGACACCGCCGCCCGTGGCGGCAATCCATCTCGGATTGGCTGTTTTCGACCGAATTAAGCCGAATTTGCACCGGTTCCTGCGAGAAAACACACTTAGGGCCCTCGGTGGGCCGGAAAAATGCAGAAAACCGAAACTCACTAGCGATGAGGCTCTCCGGTGCGGCGGCTCCTCCGACTCACATTGCGGTTGGGTGTTTTGTTTCGGTCAACCTCGTTTGGCGGTCGGAAATTGCTCCGGTATGGCGGCGGGTGGCGGTGGTCGGCTCCCCGACGGCTAGGCTGTCTTCTCCAGCAAGGGGCTCTGACGGCTAGGGTTAGGGTTTGGGTGCGGATGGGGTTATTTATACCCATCTGCTTTTGATCTGGGCCATCCATGCGCGTTTTTGATCTAGGTCGTCCGTGCGCGCAGGAACAGATCTCAGCTGTTCGATCGCGCGCATGCGGATCGCCCATGTAGCTCCCCCCGCGTGGCCTCCCGCGTCAGTGCCTCTGCCACCTGGCGTGTTTTGGTTGGTCGAGGCTACTGACCGGGCAGCTGACGTGGCGTAACTTTTTTAAATTGCGTTTTGACCCCTGATTTCTGATTTTTCTTTCAAAAATACCCCCAGCACCCAAATGTTTACCCATTTTCCCCAAAATTATTTTCAATTAAATCCCTAACTAATTTTTTTACCCTTTTTATTATTATTATTTTTTTTTTATTTTTATTAACTCAAATTAAAATAAAATAAAATAAATTAAAATCATATAAATAATAATTATATTTATATAAAAATAATTATTATTAAATAAAAATAAAAATAATTAAATATTGGGTGTTATAACTCTCCCCCCCTTAAAAGAAATTTAGTCCCTCAAATTTTCTTTTTACTCTCGATCGAACAGCTGGGGGTACTGGGCTCTAAAGTCTGATTCTAGCTCCCATGTGGCCTCCCTTGGTGTGTGGTTCTGCCATATGACCTTCACAAAGGACATCTTCCGGTTGTGAAGTAATCTACTTTTTCGATCCGCATTGCCGACTGGTACTTCCTCGTAGGATAAATCCTCCTGGAGTGGAAGAGGTTCATGGGCCAAGACATGATAGGGGTTCGGGTTGTATTTGCGTAGCATGGACATATGAAACACATTATGGACCTTAGAAAATTCTGGAGGCAGTGCTAGTCTGTAGGTGGAAGTACCAATCCTATCTAAGACTTCAAATGGTCCAATAAATCAGGGATTTAGTTTCTCCCTCTTGCCGAACCTACCGATTCCCTTAAAATGAGTGACCTTAAGGAACACCCGGTCGCCTTCCTCAAATGCTAAATCTCTCATCCGGGTGTCCGCATAACTCTTCTGTCTACTCTGAGCTGTCTAAATATTCTTCTTGATCTTAACTATTTTGGATGTAGTCTCCTCTACCAGCTTTGGGCCGAACAATTTTTTATCACCCACTTCTTCCCAACAAATCAACGATCTGCATGGGCGCTGATATAATACCTCATACGGAGCCATACCAATACTCGCTTGATAGCTGTTGTTGTAGGCGAACACTATCAGGGGTAGATAGTCGTCCCAATGGCCCCCATAGTCAATGACACAAGCTCAGAGCATATCCTCAAATGTACAGATTGTCCTTTCTAATTGTCTATCAGTCTGAGGGTGGAAGGCAGTATTGAGGGACAGCTTCGTTCCCATGGCTTGCTGAAAGCTACTCCAAAACCAAGAAGTGAACCTGGGGTCCTTGTCGGACACCACTGTCATTGGGACTCTAGGCAATCTGACTATTTTTCGGATATACATTCTTGCTAACTTGTCCAAGAGATCGGTCATCCTAATGGCCAAGAAGTGAGAAGACTTGGTAAGCCGGTCAATAATTACCCAGATGATATCATGTCCTGAACATGCCTTAGGTAACTCTGTCACGAAATCCATGGTGATATGTTCCAACTTCCACTATGGGATCGGTAATAGCTGAAGTAACCCGCCTGGGCGCTGATACTCTGCCTTGACCTGCTGACATACCAAGCATTTAGACACAAAGTCAGCTATGTCTCTTTTCGTTCTGTTCCACCAAAACTAAGGTCGCATACTTTAGTACATTTTAGTGCTTCCAGGATGCATGGTAAACTTTGAGCTATGGGTATCTGTCATGATGTCTCTCTTTAACTTACTGTCACCTAGAACACACACTCTGTTCTGGAATCGGAGTAATCCATCGGTGGAGACTCGGAATTCTGAGCTAACTCCCTGTTCTGCATCATTCTGGATGGCTACTAGGGCGGGATCAGCTGATTGAGTTTTTCTTATTCTCTAGATTAACTCAGGCTAGACAGTTAGATGACCCAAACATGTGACTCTCCTCAAGTCCTGAAGTCGAAGCTATTGTATGGCCCCAATTTGCTTGCATTCTGAAACCATCAAATCGGCTAAGATACCTGCACTTTTTTCTACTGAGTGCATCGGCTACCATGTTGCCCTTACCCGGATGATACAAGATGTCACAATCATAGTCCTTAAGAAGTTCTATCCACATTCTCTGACGCATGTTGAGATCCTTTTGAGTGAATATGAGTTTCAAACTCTTGTGATCGGTATAGATCTGAAAGGTCTCTCCACATAAATAATGACGCCAAGTCTTCAAGGCGTGTATGATTGCGGCAAGCTCTAAGTTATGGGTGAGATAATTTTTCTCATGACTCTTTAACTGTCTGGACCCATACGCTATGACCTTCCCATACTGCATTAAAACACAACCCAGGCCTAGATAGGAGGCATCACTGTAAACTGTATACCCCCTCGATCCACTCGGTAAGGCCAGCACAGGTACAGTAGTCAGCCGCTTCTTTAGTTCTGAAAAACT